CGTAGTGGAAAAAGGTTAAGTGGCCTATTAAGGGGATCTTGCAGAGGATCCCTTTGTGTTTTGGGTAATGGTGCAAAAATACTCTCAAGTGGAATGAACGTTGAGAACGCGTTAATCAATAAGTTCATGTCAATAACGCTCCAGTTCCAAAGCTGTTTGTGGCAGGAGACGACCTCTCCATATATTAAGTAGCGCACTACTTTTAATACAGTCCGTTAAAAATGGAGTAAAGTGGGTTAACCCTGTGCTCTCCAGGCTATGTTATCATCAATTTAATGAAGATTCGATTTATGAAGGTATCACCGAACATAACGTCAAATAAGCCATTATTGAAAAAATCGATAAATGCAGCTCAATATGGGGTATACAATCTACCTACCCCGATATCATGAAATACTCGTATTCATTTAATATTTAATATTTTAATGTTACTTAATTTGTTATCTTAAATAAATATTTAATAAATATTTGGAATATAATATTTTTACTAAATATTTATTCAATATCTTTTAAATAATTTGAATACAATATTTCTTTTATAATATTCATTAAACATTTACTTTTCGATCAATGTAAAATATTACATCTCTATTGTTGAGCAAATATTCATTAAATATTTTCGGCTACGGCGCTTGTGCGTGTGACCCCGAGCGACCAGTGGCACAATGGCAAGCCGACCTGAGCCGACCCGTTTGCCGGTATCCATTTTGCCAGTCAATTTCACTATGATAGCGTGCTTCCTGCGTACCTCCAAGTAGTACATTATATGAGAGTTTTTTTGTGGAAAAGGGTAAGTTTTTAGATAATCACATAGCTTAATTTATCTGACTAGTAAAAATTATTGTGCCAGTTGAGTATAAATGTATTTAAAAGACCATGAATAACTAGCCTTGAGGTGTAACAGTTATTTGGAATTGGCGGATTTATCTGAAAATGGATACGAAAATTATATTCATAGCATGAAAGCAAAACAGCTTTCTTTAAATATCTCAATTATTATTATTATTATTGTCGTAATAGGGGGCAAATCAGCTGTAACTATCAGGTGACCAAATAAGTTCGTGCGGTTTTCAGTAGAAAAGTATAAATTTTTATTGAGAAACAATAAGGCACTATTTAATCGTCGAAGTGATTACCGTCACCTTCAATGACATTTTGCCAACGTGGAACCAATTTTTGTATGCCGGTATTGCAGAACTCCCTGGATTTGGAGTGAAAAAATTGGCGGACTGCATTTATTACACCATCTCGAGTTGTGAACTGTAGGTACTTCATACAGTTGTCAAGAGACAAAAAAAGGTGATAATCACTAGGCGAAATGTCGTGAGAATATGTAGGGTGCGGTAATGTTTCCCAGGGGAGTTCAGAATATTTTCCTCGGGTCACTTTTGCGGTATGAGGTTTGGCATTATCCTGCAAGGATATCACTTTCGTCTGATTGATCAAAGAAGACTGCTTCTGGATGAGTGCTGCTTGTACTCGTTAAAGCTGCTCACAATACAAGTTAGCAGTGATGGTTTGACCCCTCTCCAAAAACTCATAATGGACAATGCCAGTTGCAAGGAAGTCTTGGGCGTGTGTGGTACCAAATCAGTAGGTGATAACCAATGATACGAACGTTTAGAATTCGAATACAAGATCCATTTTTCGTCGCAGGTCAATAACCGATTAAGAAATGGTTCATTAGCGTTGCGTGAAATGTTTGCTGAACAAACGACTTAATTTGTTATCATTTGTCAGTGCATGTGGGACCCATTTGCTTAACTTCCACGTCTTCCGTAGCTGATGAAGATGCAAACGAATAGTTTCAGGACTCACTCATAATATTTCTGCAAGTTCTTGGCACGTTGTCATGGAATTTGCGTCCACAACCTGTCGAAGATCCTCGTTGTTCATGATTTTTGGTCTCACTGAGCGTGGTTCATCGCTCAAACTGATATCTCCCGACGAAAAATTTTTGAATCACTTCTGTGCTGTTCGATCACTAACGGAATCATTTCCGAATACGGTACATATTTTTCGCGCCGCCGCTGCAGCTTTTGTACCAAGTTTGTACTCATAACTCATACAGTAAACAACTTCGAATTACTGTTTTATTCGTCATGTTCAGTTATTAAAACTAGGTATGTAACAAGTTTCAGCAATCTTTTGTGTGTGAGAAAAGAAGGATGCATACTAAAGTTACAACAGGTAACAAACAATCGCTATCGATCAAGAACATCCAGGGCAATGTGCGATATACAGCAACCGCACTTATTTGGTTACCTGATATTTTAAAAAGTTGGAACGTCCCTTGGATTATGATATAAATCAATAAGTAGTCTATTTTTAAAAATCTTCTCTTTGAAAGGAAATTGTGCCCATGGGCATTTTTTATCAAGATATGTAAAATAACATACCTACCAAATTTTTTTCAGTGACCCAGTTGAGCTACTCGGAGTGACTCAGCAGTGCTCAGTACCAATATTGTTCCACTGCATAATAATTAGTAAGTTTGTTTTTGTTTCAGAGTGGATTTTCAAGATCCAGAAAAGGCTTAGAATGTTTTTTAATGATATTTTTCTAGCAAATTAGACCATTATATCTAGAATGAATTTTATTTATAAACCCAATTTTATGAAAACACTTCTACAGATTTTGCTGAAATAACCAATGAAGAATTTTCTATATACACTGCAAATATGATCAATGATTGAAAATCCATACATATTTACGGAAAATATTATATATCCCATCAAAATATAAAATTGATATTTAAAAATCTTTCCTCACATATTTTCTAAATATTTGGAAAAACTATCGCAAAAATGTATGAATTATATATTCTACAAATATCTATAATGAATATTTCATTTATATTTAAGAAATATATTTATTACATATTAAAAAATCTGTAGCTACAAATATTTAATAAATATTTAATGTTATCGGGGTTCTTGATACTGATTTTTGATAGACATTTTTATACTTACAAAAATAGTCGGGGAATTCGAGATACATTAAAAATAGGTAGAAAAATCGAGTATGATCTAATTGGAAATATATCATGACTCACAAAAAGGTTATCACCACAGTGACCACAAAGTAACAAAGACGAAAAACCACGATTTAACCGAAAAAATCAGATTTTTTAAATATTTTTTCTCAAGACTGGTGAGCAGTCGTTGTTTCCGTATAAAGATGATCTGTTATCTGCATGTGAAATTAAGGTAAAGTTTAAACTTTTTTTAGAAATTTTAACATGAAAAACCTTTCTTTTACAAGATAGAGCCTCTCCTCTTATAGAACAATTATCTTTCTTCCATGATCATACATTATTAATTTTAGTAATAATTACCGTTTAAGTAGGCCACTCAATAGTTACCTATATTATTTTTTAATAAATTAATGCATCGCTATCTTCTTGAAGGCCGTACTATTGGAATTATTTGAACTATTTTACCTGTTATTACTTTAATTTTTATTACAGTCCCTTCTTTACGCCTAATCTAGATTCTTGATGAAATTAATAATCCAATAATTATTATTCAAACTATTGGACATCGATAATACTGATCTTATGAATACACTGATTTTGAAAATATTGAATTTGATTCTTATATAATTCCTATAAATGAAATAAAAAAACTATAATTTTCGATTATTAGACGTCGATAACCGTATTGTTGTTCCGTACGAATCCCAAATTTGTATGGCGTAAAAATTGATGCAACACCTGGCCGTTTACACCAAATTAGATTTTCTATTCATCGAACAGGATTATTTTATGAACAATTTTCAGAAATTTGTGGAGCTAATCTTAGGTTTATACGTATTGTAATTGAAAGAACTATGTTATTAAATGAATTTCTAAAATAACTGAAATTTCATTAGATGGCTGAAAGTAAGCAATGAACTTTTAAATCATTGATAGTAAATTTACACCTACTTCTAATGAAAAATTTAGTTAAAATTATAACATTAGCTTGTCGAGCTAGAATTATTAATTTATAAATAATTTTTAATTCCTTAAATAGTTCCCTTAAACTGAATAACTTTAATAATTTTTTTTTGTTCACATCTTTTTAATTATTAATATAGTATTTTTTTTTCATTTAATTATCCTGTAGAAAAACTCAATTAATACAAAAATACATAAAATTTAATTGAAAATGAAAATAAATATATTTTCCTCTTTTGATCCTTCAACTAGTTTTAGACTATCCCTTAATTGACTAAGAACTTTACTTAGATTTTTTATTATCCCTCCAATATTTTGATTGATTCCTTCACGATTCCATATATTATGAAATATAGTTATTATAACTTCACACAAAGAATTTAAAGTTTTAATGAACAACAGACAATCCCAAGGAAGAACTTTAATATTCATTTCTCTTTTTTCATTAATTTTATTTAATAATTTTTTAGGTTTATTTCCATACATTTTTACAAGAACTAGACACATAGTATTAACTCTTACTCCTGCCTTACCTTTATGAATAAGTTTTATATTATTTGGGTGAATCAATAATACAACCCATATGTTTGCTCATTTACGACTGGTTCCTCAAGGAACCCCCGGTATTTATACCTTTATGGTATTAATTGAATCTATTAGAAATATCATCAGACCTGGGATTCTTGCCACTCGACTTTCTGCTAATATAATTGCTGGTCATTTATTAATAACTCTTTTAGGAAGCACTGGTCCTTCTCTTTCTATTACTTAATTCATATTTTAATTATTACACAAATTCTTTTATTGATTTTAGAAACAGCAGTATCAATTATTCAATCTTATGTTTTTGCTGTTTTAAGAACATTATACTCTAGAGAAGTAAACTAATGTTAATACATAAAAATAACCCATTTCGTTTAGTGGATGCCAGACCTTGTCCTTTATTAGGATCCCTCAGCGCTATAATTGCTATAATTTTTGGTGCATTTTGGCAAAATCTTTAGAAAAAAATCGAATATTTTAGACCATATCAAAATCTGTGAAGTGATTTTAACATTACCTAAAACGCTGCCTATCCTAAAAGATTCTCCTCTTCCACTTTGCTCTCGTTCTTCCTTCTCTCCTTTCCTCCCGTTTTTTGCCTTAAAATTGTCTGGTTTCTGGGTTACCAGACCTGACAGACTTACAAACTGACACTGTGGCTAATACTATAATATAATTACTTTATTAGTAATATATCAATGACGACGAGATATTGTTCGTGAAAGTACCTTCCTAGGCCAACATACCTTTAAAGTTACTTTAGGACTAACTTATATACTAGTTCGCCTAATATTGAGGAAGTTACATATTATTATAGAGCATTGTTCTGTGGTTTGGCGATATCAAACATAAAGATATCATAAAGAAGCTTACCAGCCAGAGGTGATTTTCCATGATGTTTTGGTAGTTCCCAGTCTAACTGCCTTGGCTTGTTTGACCCATCGAGCCTATACTTTAAGCTCAAAATCCCTGTTCTTGAGTTACTTGTTAACTGGAACCACGGTGTTATCCTACCAGGAGAATTTACCTAAGACCATTTAAAAATGAATGAAAAATTACATATTTAAACAAAATCCATAGAAAAAGAAATACATATGTAAGTATCACTTGGGAATTCAATACACTTGCTATCCAGAGTGTTTTCAAAGTTGAGTCATTTATTTTAACTGTTTGTAAGACTCGTCAAAAGGAGTTGATATACCAAAAATCACCTATATAAAAGTTGCATAATAAAAGAAATAGTAAGATATTAAAATTTAAAAAAAAAACAAGAATGTTATTACACAGATTTTTTGATATTCTTGACCACTGCTGTGTAAAATATATATACGTTTTTTGTTTATTACTCTATCGTTTTACTTTTTCTTATAATTCACGTAAAACAACTTTTTCTGAGCTTTTGCTATACGATCCGATTTCTTGTTTTGGGTGTTAAGACGTTGATGTGACGATTCGACTATTTTTGAGTACTTTCTCATAATTTCAAATATAAGTTCAAATTTTGCCGTGAAAGCGGACCTGCAAAAGGTTATTTGACCCATATGGATACAGGGTGTTTCAATTTATTGTTGCATAACTTTAAGATTCGATAGAACTTTTAAAATTAATGCATAAAGTCTATATAAACATGGGTCGAAAAATGCGTGGCTTCCGAAATACAGGGTATTTAAATTTACTTTCTAAAATAGTTTTTTTTTAAATATTTCTAACAATATTTGATGTATAACAGTGAAAATTGGTATACAAGGGTTTTTTGGTACGACAAAACTAACCATGGGCATAGTTTTACTGTAGCCGCTAGAGGGCGCTCTCTACTGTACCTGTAGTCTATTAAAATGACCGAAAATTTTTTCTTAGAGCAATTTTTTGCTTTTTGAATAAAAAAACTGATTCTTCACACTTTTCAACATAAAAAAGCTCTCTTGTGAATTTTCGTTTTTTTCGTTTTTGAGATATTTCGATTTTGGTTCGATGCATTTTCAGTTATTTATGATAAAATAACGTTAAAAAGTCAGTATCTCGATAATTTTTAGAAATAGGCTGTTCCTCAAATATTTTTGAAATTGAAAGCAGAATAAGGTTAAACGTCGATTAGTTGACAGTTAGTTTTGTTGTCTGTTGAAACCTGAAACGTTTTTTTGCAATTGTGAATGCACGAAATTTAGTTTCTTTTACCTGTTTTTTTTTGTAAGTTTTATAAAAATGCCATTTTTATTCTCCAATCAAGAGTTAGCGGATATTCCATTGGTGTATGGGTTTGTAAATGGAAACGCAGCAGAAGCAGCCAGAGAATACGCACGAAGATTTCCAAACAGACGACATCCAACTCGCTCATTATTTGTAAGAGTGCATCGCCAAATAATTGAAAATGGTTTTGGAAATCTCCAAAGGGATCAAAACATAAATGTTCGTCAGCGCAGATTTACCCGTATGATTCTGCGTGAGATTGATAGAGATCCGACCACAAGTGTTAGGAGAGTTTCTGGTGCCTTGGGAATTTCAGCAAGCCATGTTCACCGTGTTCTTAGAAATGACCATAGACGTCCTTACCATTTGCAACCTGTGCAAGGACTACAGCCAGGGGACGGAGAACGAAGGATCACATTTTGTCAGTGGATTCTTGATAGAACTGATAATAATAGGGAGTTTTTACGTAACGTTTTATGGACCGATGAGTCATGCTTCACTAGACGTGGAGTGGTAAATTTTCATAATCAACATATTTGGTCGCATGAAAATCCGCATGCAGTTCGGGAAAGAAATTTTCAGCATGAATTTAGTGTGAACGTGTGGATTGGTATCTACCGTAATCGACTATTTGGACCCTACCTTTTGCCTGCAAGGTTAAATGCTGCGACCTTCTTGGAATTTTCAAAGGCTGAACATGCAAATATGTGGGATGATGTTATGTTAGATTTAAGAAGATTGGCCTGGTTCCAGCTTGATGGTTGTCCAGCTCATTATTCGAGAATAGTTAGAAACTGGCTGGATGAAAATTATCCAGAAAGATGGATCGGCCGTGGAGGAGCAGTCGCCTGGCCTCCACGATCCCCTGACCTAAATCCATTAGATTTCTTTGTGTGGGGATTTCTAAAAGAAAAAGTGTACCAAACTCCCGTAACCACAAGAGGTATGCTAATAGACAGAATCAGGAATGCATGTGATGAAATAAGACCTTATTTGAATAATGCTATAGCACGTTCGATCATTCGTAGATGTGAATTGTGTATTGAACAATTGGGTTTACATTTCGAGCAACTACTTTAAATTTTGTATGTTTGTCCTAACTATCCAATAGCATTTTAGTTCTAAATAATTAATTTAATTTGTTAAACATAATATTGGAAAATTAAACAAATTAATATTCTGTTTTTTGTGTTTATTTGGAGTTAAGAATTATTGCTGTGTTTAAAAACACAATCTAAACGATCATCTTAATTCCTTGTAATGCCCAAATCGAAAATGTAAAAAAAATGTTATTTTCCCATAAATAATTAAAAATGCATCGAACCTTAAAAATCGAAATATCTCAAAAACGGCTAACTGTAACGAAAACTCACAGGAGAGCTTTTTTATGCAGAAAGGTGCGAAGAATCTGTTTTTTTATTCAAAAAGCAAAAAATTGTACTAAGAAAAATTTTTCGGTCATTTTAATACACTACAGGTACAGTAGAGAGCGCCCTCCAGCGGCTACAATAAAACTATGCCCATGGTTCGTTTTGTCGTTCCCAAAATCCCTTGTATACCAATTTTCACTGTTATACATCAAATATTGTTCGAAATATTTAAAAAAAAGTATTTTATAAAGTAAATTTAAACACCCTGTACTTCGGAAGCCACGCATTTTTCGACCCATGTTTATATAGACTTTATGCATTAATTTTAAAAGTTCTATGGAATCTTAAAGTTATGCAACAATAAACTGAAACACCCTGTATAGGTTGAATTTAAAAAAGCATATTTATTTTTTATTGGAAACAGTGAAAATATTATTGGCCATAATGTGACGTCATACAAATTGTAAACAAAGAAACGTCATCCGTAAGTCACTCGTGGACTAAGGTTGGCTTCCTTAAATATTTATAAAAACGTATCAACCTAAAAAGTTGCCGTTTTCCCGCTGTATTGAAAAAACGATCATGGATGTTGGATTGATAAAAGCTGAGAGCACAAATTTGACAAAAATTGATACATTGATGGTTGGTATTTTGTTTAGCCTTCTACTGAGCGCTAAGTAAGTACAGTTCATCTGATATAATAATAGACATAAAAAGAAAGAATAGTAATTATAATAATAATAATAATAATGTTTATGGTCCAAACTACAAGCAGATAACTAGAAATAACATATTTTAGAACAATAAACGTGGTAGAAAACCCGCAGAAGGCTAGCCTTTTACGCGGGTATACATTAGCTTATGAATAATTACGTACTACTTAAACTAGAACCAAAAAGACACACGTGATTTTCTAAGAAAAGGACAATAACAACATTAAAATAGAATTTTAAAATACATTGTCTGACAAAGTGGGAGTATGGATGGCTTCATTTAATTATAGATCCTTTTTAAGGCGAAATGTTTCTTTAGGGCACAAAATCTATCTTAGGTTATTAGTGTTTTTGTATTATGTTCTCTGTTTGGGGGATATATCGAGTATGTTGTCAAAATCGGTAAATAAGTATAGCAGGGGTATATTGTTTAAGTCGGTAGTGTTGGGTATAGGGTATTTTATCTAATTCGGTAACTCTATTCTAGTAATTGGTTTCATGTTAAGTGCGATCTTTTTAAGTCAACAATTTCGTGAATTCTGTCTGGACATAGATGTTATCCAGCCTTTTACTTTACTTTAAATGTGTCGTTGGAACGTATCATCTTCAGGTCTTGTGGAAGAAGATTGTAACATCTTGGTCCTAGGTAAGAATACGATCTGAGCATTATATTTTTTTCTGGCTTCGGCACCTTTAAACAATTCCTGTTTCTTGTTTGGTAAGAATGTATCGGCTCTTGGTTGGGAGGACGGAATATATGTTGCACCATCAAAACTTTTAGTAGGTATAATTGCCTTATGTCTAATATACCAGTTTCTTTATAGAGATGGTCAGTTGGATACAGTCGGGGTTTATGAGATTTGTGTTTAAAATACATTTTTGAGTTATTTCTAATTTGAATATATGAGTTGTGATTGCTGCTCCCCATTCTATTATACCATAATTTATGTGAGATTCTGCCAAAGCATGATATAGTATTTATAATTGACGATACTCTAGTATGTTTTTAATTCTTCTTATCGCGACATAAATTATATGCATATCCCACCTGAGGTGTGCATCTACACTATGTAAATTCCTAATTACTTTACACCATTTACTTTATTTATTTTACATTTATTATTCCCAGTGTTTTTTATTTGTATATGATGGTAAGATGGCACTTTGTTGGCCTAAGATGTGAAGGGAATAAAATTAGTTTTTTCAAAATTTATTGAACTTATTACCAAACCAGTCTTTCATTTTACAAAGATCATTTTGTGCTACGTTTCTTAGATCTGCCCAGTTTTCATTTGTATATATCACCACAGTGTCATCAGCGTAGCTCACGATGTCTCCTCCAATTTTTTGTTTGAACAAGTCTGCCAAATATATGTTAAAGAGTAAAGGCCCTAAGATGCTTCCCTGGGGAATCCCATACTCGACCGTTGCTATTTTACTGTAATTATTCCCAATTTTTACCGTATAAGTTCTACCAAAGATATAAGATTCCAATAGGTTATATTATGTGCCTATAAACCCTATGTTTTGAAGGGTATCTAGGGGTCTAGCATGACTAACTGTATCGAACGCTTTTGACAAGTCAATAAAAATTCCGATGCAAGGTACTCGTATATTGTCGTCTACGTGCTTTGACAGTCTTGTGGTAATATACTCGATCGCGTCTTCTGTTGATTTGCCTTCAACAAATCCAAACTGCTTTTCTGATAATATGCTTTTCTATTTTATATACGAGCCCCTTCCCACTTCAGTTGGTCCACTTCAAGATTTGTACCAAAATATGCCTTTATAAATTAAACATGACGAAACTATTTACTTCTAAAACTAGTTAGATACACTCTAGTCGTAAAAAATACATATTTGAAATCACTTAGACCTATAACTAATAGAACATCTGAACAAATAAATAATGTGCGAATAAATGCGCGAAGTTAACAAAGCAACAATTGAGAGATTACCATTGGGTAACATCACCTTTATTTTTTATTACGGCTGAAATTCTTTGGGGCATAGTGTTGACCAAGTTTTGTCAAAAATTTGGTGTAAAACAGTCCCATATTTCTTGAAGCTTTTGTCTCAGTTCGGTAAATGTACGAGCAGGATGTTGTAGTAGAACCTTTTTCATCTCGTGCCACAAAGTTTCAATAGGTGACACATCTGGACTGCTAGGAACCCATTTCAAAAGTGGTACATTATTTTCTTCCATCCATTTTATAGCCTTTTTTGAGTATGGCACGCTGCACCATCGTGCTGAAACACAAAACATTGGCCGGATGTCAAACATTCTTCCATCACTGGTAAAAGCGATTTTTCTAAAATTGCCAAATATTTGTTTGTATCCACATTTTCATCAATAAAATGAAGTTTTGCTACTCCTTTTGATGACATACTGCCCCAGATCATAATGGATGCTGGAAATTTCACTTTTCTCTTCAGACAGTCAACATGGAATGCTTCATTTTTTTTGCGAATAACTCTACTGCGACTGTCACCAACACAAACTTCGAATCGGGCCCCATCACTCCATTGTATTGCACACCATTGTTGAGGTGTCCATTGTCTATGTTCTTTAGCCCATCAAAGCCGATTTTTCTTTTGCAGTGGAGTTAATAGTGGCTTTTCTTTGGCCTGTAAACAAGTTATGCAACTTTAGGGTTTTTACTTCAACTTTTTTTATAAGTTTGTGGGCCTCTCTATGAGTTGTGGACCTCGAAATTCTCCTTCCAACAGCGTCACTCCACAGAGCACTTAATTGTAAATAATTGGCACGCCTGTTTTTCACGATTATTCTTCCTAATGCTCTTCGGTCGGCATTTGTGGTATTACTTTTTTCACATATCGTAGCTTAATATTAACTGAACCAGTTACGTTATATCTTGTAAAAATATTTCTCTACACTGAACCGCGATAAGTCTAACAAAGTTGCAATTTCTGAGTTTGATTTCCCAGAATAAAAAAATTTAATTATCAGTAACCGAATTTTCTCACTAATAACCTTTCCTCTATCCATTTTGAAAGCCCAAAACTATTTTAAACGTATTCTGACAGCTGTGATTAATAAAAACAATTGTCATGGCTTTTATTTTTCACAGCCACCTATGCATTATAGACTTATTTTGCATTGAAATGAAAATAGGTTGATATGCTGTAATTGCAACATGTGTTATTTTTATGCTGCAAATTTGATTAGGGAGTGATAAAGTTGGTGTTTTCTACTATATATTATCAAAATATTCATTGTTAATATTTTAAACCTATAATACCCTGCTACATTTTTATTATTTGTGTTTGATAATAAAAAAACTAAGATTTCAATAGTTGGGCCAACTGAAGTGGGAAGGGGCTCGTAGTTATTTATGTGATTTTTTAGGATTTTCTCGAAGATTTTGGAGATATTAGATAATAGAGTGATTGTTGGTCGTCTGCCCACTTTTAAATACAGGAAATATAAAGCCTGACGGGCACTGTCCAGTTTGGAATGCCCAGTTTATTATAAAAGTTAACGGTTCCGAAATTTCTATGGCAATTATTTTTAGAGTTTTTGCTCTAATTTCATCCCAGCCCGGAGCCTTTTTATTTTTCAAACACACGATGGTATTTATCACCTCTTCTTCTGACGTGTCCTCTAAGAGAAATGATTCTGTCTTTATTGTCTTTTCAAAATGACGTAAACGATTTTGTTTATTGTTGTTTTTCTCTGCCAGGACTCTACCGATGCTGCTAAAATAGTCTACAAAGTGATCGGCGATCAGCTTGCTATCGTTAACTGATTGACCATCTTGTACTTCAATTTCAAGTATGGTATTCTTTTGTGTATTTCTTCCAAACAGCTTATTGGCTACTTTCCATAATGCTGAAGAGTTAGATCCATTCTTTTGGATTTCTTGCTGGCTGTAATTTTTCTTTGCTCGTTGAATACTCAGGTGGAGTTCATTTTTTATCTCTCTATATTTAGCAATATTATCTTGTGTTGGTGAATTTTTTACCGCGTTATACAAATGGTTTTTTCTAATGGCTAACCCAATAAGTAATATACACATAATATTTCTTTTCAGTAGTCATTCAAAACTAAATTCACGAGACATAACCTCTGAATAATTTTATCTAATATTGTGTTTCTTCTTACACATCTAGCAAAGGTAATTGTACGGTGATGAAGTGGTAGTTTACGTCGAACTTGAACGAGCTGATCAAATATGCTCAGTAAAATGTAAAATATGTGTTTCGTATATTTCTTTCACTGGGCACTCTAATCCACATCACAATTTTTAGAATTTGTTCGAAAAATGTTTAAATATTCGACACAATTTTGGGGTCCTTTTTGAATAAACAACCGAATCAGAATCTTTTTTTTGAGACGCTGTGAAGATACTCCCAGAAGTAAACAGTGTTTGTATATTATCTGGTGACGAACAGCTTTTTCAGAAGAATACAAATCTTATTGTCTTTATTCCGAACTTACCGAAAGCAGTGTTCCTAGGTTGTTTTTCTGCTGTCTCATAATGAAGACCACCGTGAACCCGTTGGTATTATTCATGACAGATGTAACCACAGATGAGCTGGGCAGGGGAACGTTGCCATAGGGTAGTCTGAATTTGTAGGCCGGGAACTTTGATATGGGTCCTTCTATAAGCGATACACCAGGATCCTTGGCAGTTACGTTTATCAGTTTCAGAATGTCAACCTCAGCTGAAAATGAATAGATGAGGATAGACAACGGATTACAACTCATACAATTTTTTAAACAATGGATAAAACACATTAAAAAATATAGTTGCATAATGTATGTCCTAAAAGTTTTGGCACAAAATTCAATATCAAGTTTGGAAACAAAAATTTGCTTACTTACTTTACTGTCAGTTGACATTTATTTATTTTGAAGTTTTCGCTTCAAGATGTCGTATTAATTAGAAATAAGAAAAAGTATCTAAAAGTTGGTTGGATGGGTACCCAAAGCTGAAATCTGTTGAATCTTTTAGAATGAAAACATTACACGCAGAAGCATTAAATAAATTATTAAAATCTATAAGGCCTTTATGAAATAAACTATTTTGCGCAAAAGCAGACCCCACAGCAGGAACATGAAAATCAAACCTATTCCTTGTATTGTGTAACGGTTTCACCGTCCGATCGTATTTATTAAATCACTTCTCGATTATCATTTCATTAATCCCATCTCTAGCTTTTTTGCTTGGAAAATTTTCCGCTTGGAGCGCTTGATGCGGAGTTCCTGATCTGCGATCTTCCTCGCGCTTCCTTTTCACCTGAGCCGCCGATCGAACAACGGCTAGGTAAATTTCTTCTCAGTAGCACAAGGTTATATAGCACCATGTGCTAGATTTCTAGAATGTGTGTCCGTATAGGACAAAAATGGTGAGTTTTATAATACTATACAGTTTTATTGCTGGATCTGCCTGTAGTTTATAGATAATCGGTATGTAAGTGATTTATTTCTTGTATGATTTTAAAATGTCCATCGAACGTCATTTTCGACTACTTCGATCATTCGCCATAACTTTAATCAAATCGAGGTGGAAATCGATCCACATCGATTTTACCTCTGTGCGCGTATATATATTCATAGTTCAGTGAAATTATAAGTACGTTGATTATGAATATTCGATGATTATGTTTTTATATCAGAAGCATGTGGAGAAATTTTTGATGACCACCATCTTATTCTACGCTTTTTTTTGCTATTTCATGATTTTATTTTATGAAAGGCATTTCCAATTTTCGGTTTGATTTTATCAAACTATATAATGTAATTCTAACCTAGAAAATCGTTGGTTCTCTTTTGAGGCAGACTGAGATTGGAAATGCCTTGGCCATTAGGGCACGTTGCTAATGCACACGGTTCTTTTTCAGATTGGGGCCACCCCCTTTCTTTTTCCCTTTCACTTTGCCTAGCCTTGGCCAATATTTTCACCCATGCATGTGCCTTGGCAGCGCCATCGCCTTTAACTTCGCCTACAACTGGTTGTGAAGCCACTATATGGAGGTCACCCCTCATAACTGGGACCTCCCCTTCAAGCCCCTGGCCATCCTGGCTTCAGTCGAGTAAAAATGGACCAGCGAAAGATAAGTCGATAGCGTTATAGCAGCGCCAAAGATGTAAAACTTATTTTGTTATTTTTGTAAAATTGTAATGTAATGAAAATGCCTTTTTTTTGTTAAATAAAATCTGTTAAATTTTTGTGTTCTGTTTGTTCTTCTATCCTCTAGCCATGCCATGGTCGACACACAGCTACACGCCTGTAGATGTCTTCATGCCACCGACTGAGCTACCGGAAGCTAATGGTAACCCCCTTTCTGTGATTGTGCAGAAAAGTTGGAATCTTCATTGCATTCCATCTTTTCTGGACTTTTTGCGGAAAGGAAGCGTTACATAAATTGGCACCCGCAACGTGAGGCTTCGATAGGTGTTTGGCTTTGTCGACAAGTGGTTTGCTAGTGGAAGATTGGCAGACAGAACATAGTTTTCAAAATTCTTTACAATCTTTGGCAGCATTTCTATTTTTAATTGCTTTTGGTACTCAAATTTCTAATTCCTTAATCATCCTTACTTTTTGCTTAATGTTTAAAATTTTTATCAAAAGATTAAAATTTTTCCACCTGTTTATTTCATAGGCATACTATTAACTTTTAAATTGTCTTGTTTAGTAGTCAGCGAGATCATTGCCAGAATTTTTTTTCTCACATACTACTATAGTTTTTATTTACTGCTGGGGACAGTTATAACTTTTTTCTCATTGTACTTTTGAGATTGATGATATTTTGACAATTTTTTGTTGTTGAATATTCATAGTCTGGGGACTTTAGGTTTCCCAGCATTTTTGTCGAATATCATCAAACTTTTGATTGAGGTTGTGACTATTGTTGTTGATAGTTTACATATTCTTATATGCTTTTCATTTTTGATCACTAACCTCTTAGTTTTTGAAAGTATTTCTTCATGTGCAGTTTTTTTTGATTTCTTGAGACTTTTCATGTATGCATATATAGCCTAATTGTTGGATCTCTGGTGTACTGATATAGCTCTCATGATGTTTGGTACGTAGGAAATTTACTTTCAAAATTATTTTTTGCCTTCCCCAAATGTATTTACTTTTTGAATTTTTGACTGTACTTGAACTTTTGATCATTTGTTTTCATTCTGATGGCAATAATCAACTGACTAGAGTTATCTGGAGTAAATCATTTTGCGATTTATCCATTTTTCTGAATTATATGAAATTGATATTCATAATTTTTCGTATATTTTGGCGGTTTACTTTTTTTCAAGTATTGACACTTGGACATAGTACTTTGATACTTACCTTTCTTTTTTTTCAAGAAACAAATGATGTTTTTCTTGACTATATTTTTGCTACTTTTCAATGAGGGGGTGACTCCTAAATCATTTTTACCTATACAAAGACACACATACTCATTTATGATAATTAAACTTCAACTTGTTGTTGAAATAGTATACGTTCCTCAGTAACTATTGTAGTAATTTTGTCTCTTGTTTGGAGCAAAAGTTTTCATAATTTTAATGTTTTATAGTTTTATCTGGCATATTCTTTGGGGGAAATTAGAACATTAGTGTCTGATTTTCCATTGGATTAACAGGACTTGAACGTCTCTGTACTCTTTTAATGTATGTCAGATATAAAATAATTTTTTTTAAGATTCGGCTGCTCCTGTTTTTGTATTGAAACTTTTGTTTGTATTGTTAGTTTTTTATAGTGTTTTAGATCCTTGTCATTTCTTGACGTATTCAGGTTTTTAACTTTAATTTTTTTCTTTCAAGTGTTTCTTTGAGGTTTATTTCTCAATCATGGTTCAGTCTAGACTAAGCCCAAATGACTTATTAAGTCATGAACTCCACTACGAGATTCATATCAGAGGTTTGGAAGTCCCTAATACCGTGGAGGATAAACGTAAAGTTTTACGTGGCTTATTAGCACAGGAATTTCAAGGGCGTAGTTTCTCAGAAACTTCTGTGACTATTCCTTTTGATGAGGATGAGACTGAGATAAGACTCTCATTCAATAAACTCACTGAGATGATCTCTAGATTTACTGGTGCATTTGATTCTGTTGAACATCGCAGAATTTGTGTGCGCTTATTGCATCTATCTGGTAGGATAGATCGAATGTCTCCTACTTGTGATGAGGAGATAAGTAGAAAATCTAGATTGAAGACACAACTTGTTGTGTGTGAATCGGATCTTTTAGAGAAGCTTGAGATGCCATCTGCTCAATCATCTCCTCCATCAGTTTCATCTCGTCCTATTCCATTAGCATCAAATCCGCCTGTGACTGTTGCTAATCCGCCTGTGACTGTTGCTAATCCTCAAGTATTTCCTCCAGTACATACACAGCCACTCTCCCCTATAAATTTTGCTCCACATAAAAAGATACCAGTTTTCAAATGGGGAATCAAAAAATTTTCTGGAAATAGCTCAGTTATTGAATTTCTAGAAATTGTCGAATCTCTAATGTCTTCCCGTGGTTGCAATGAGATGGATCTCTTTGCATCTGCAGGTGATCTCTTTGAAGATGTAGCCTGGACATGGTGGCATAATGGCCATCTAAGAAATAGCTTTCATGATTGGCAGGACTTGATTAAACAACTCAAGGATGCTTTCCTACGTGACAATTATGATATGAACCTAATTGATGAGATTCGTAGACGCAAACAAGGTCAGCATGAACATGTTACGATATTCATTTCGTTCATGGAATCTCAATTCAATAGATTAACCTACAATACATTTACAGAAAGGGACATGGTCAATATTGTCCGTAGAAATTTATTGCCTGACTTCATAAAGTCACTTGCTCTTCATGAAATTTCCACTTTTCCTGAACTAACATCACTTTGTAGGAAATTAGAGGATTCCTTCTTGACTTGTCAACCCCACAATAGACTTTCCACTTCCAGCTTGGTTACTTCTGATAGTACTCCATCATCTCACAGAAAAGCTCCTGTATGTTGGAACTGCGAGAAACTAGGACATTCTGTTCGAGACTGTAGAGCTCCTAAGGCTGTTTATTGCTATACCTGTGGTATGAAAAATGTCACACGCTCTAATTGTCCTTCCTGTTCAAAAAACGTGAGGCAAGAAGTTTCCAATCCGACTCCCGGAACTTCTTTCGCCCAGACTCGAGGAGTCATAGACGTAAAGGGCAAAGCAACTCCAGGTCTCATTCTGAAGTCCAACAAATAGCCAAGTTAAGACAACCTTCAGCAATTAATCCCGATTTTGACATTAATCATTCACAACTTGCAGGTATGCCATCAAATGATCATTCAGAACCATTTATTCAAAAACCAAATGACAATCGTCCACATCTTTCAATATCCATTGGTGATGAAAACATTTTAGCTTTGCTTGATACTGGAAGCAATGCCAACATTCTAGGTTCATCTGGCTTATACTTATTACGTAAATTAAATCTCAACATCGATTACAGTAGTACCTTGCAAATAACAACTGCTGATGGCCAGATGCAGAATACTTTAGGTTTTGTTTTGCTACCAGTAGGTTTTAATGGCAAAGTTCATGTCATTAAATTCATAATAGTTCCTTCCATTACACACACATTACTTTTAGGCATGGATTTCATCCTAAAATTCAATTTCAACCTTGATTTTCATACTTTTTCATATCAATCTTGTGCTGTAAATTGTATTCAAGG